GGGGGGAGTGGGGTGGCACACACGGCTGCTGCTGTCAGTCCGGTGTCTCTGGTGCGACTGTATGTCAGTGCATTGTAACCCGAAAGGCTGCAGCATCTTAAAAAAACGCCTTTCTAGCCTAAAAGAGGATATGATGAAATAAACAGCTTTCATGTAGACTCAGAATGCATGTGACTGCGGTGCTGCTACCGGGGCAGAAGTGAGATTTTGTTGGGTGATGAGAAATTTCACTTCAGGCTGCTGTAGCTGTGAGCAGAGCCTTTCTCTAGTATAAAGCATTTAGGGAGTGAGTATTCACTGGCTCTTTCTGCAGCAGCTTTTGTTTCAGTTTGAGAAAGGCTGGCAGTTGTTCTTGTGACTTCTCGCATTGACTTTCCCTGCTTGACATCACTGGCCATGCCAGAGCTCACAGCTTCCAGATTTCTTGGTCTGTGCATTGGCTAATGTTTGTCCTTTGTAACTGTAGGAAACATCAAAGGTTATGGACTGTGATACAAGTAGATGATTTACAACTAAGAGCTGCAAAACCTCTGAAGTGTGAATTTAACTTTTTTGCAAGTACTTGGATGGTGATCAACTCAAGGTTGATTCTGCCTAGATGAAAATGCTTTTGGGGAGTCTTGGTAGTCGGGAAGCCTGCCTGAAGCTGGCAAGCTCTGTGTGCTGCCTTCTTAAATAATTCAGATGCAATTGTACTACAAAAAAATAGGTGGAAGAGCAGAATTCTGAGTTTTGCAAGTTACATTTGGGATCTGTTTGAGAAATAAGAGTGAAACTATTATTTTGTTAATGAACTTTAGTAGACACAAATTAATGGCTGGGACAGGACAGCAATAGAAATTAAAGTATTATCGAGTCAAACTCCAGCCACTAATACTGTAACAATAAAATATGGAGATGAAAAGTTGTAATTGGTAAAAATAATACTGCTCTCTTCAAAAAGACTGGGGTTACTGAATTGAGTCTGTCTTGATCCTGAGAGGGGAAAACTTTTTTTTCCAGTTGAAGCATTTGATGTTCTGGCCTGTATTTGTAATTCAGTATTCAAATAGGGTCAGACTTTGCTGATGTTGCACATACTACACTTAATCCTGTAAATCCTGCGTTGAAGTGTGTAAACTATGTTTGCCTGAATGTATAGCTTATCCTGGCTTGATGTCTCTCAAAATTGAAAAATAAAGATTGTGTGGAAATATTTTTAGGTAGCTCAACCTAACAGTTAAATTAAAGAGCTATTTTTAAAGCACAGTCACAGGAAATTGCATTAACTTGAAGCTGATTGTAGCAAGACCTTAAATCTAGAGTTAGGAATTCTACCAATACTTTGAAAACTAGGTGGGCTCTTCCCCACCATTCATAAATGATCTTCCAGAACAGCCAAAAAAGTCTTCAGAATAAGGGAGTAAGAGAAACAGCAGAAGAAGGAAATGTGTTTTCTGTGTCTCTGTGAGGGAGCATGAATCTGTTGGGAGGTTAAATGCTGCTTTTGGTGTTCAAATCTTCCTTTTCCATATGAAAAATGACTCTTGTATTTGCCTTTCCTTAAGGTGGCCAGCCCAGAAACGTGCAGCCTTTTAGTGATGAAGATGCTTCAATTGAAACTATGAGCCACTGCAGTGGCTTCAGTGATCCTGCAAGCTTCACTGAGGATGGTATATTATTTCATTTATTTCTATTCATTTTTTTAAAAAACATAAAAACTGAGTTGGACTTAGGAGTTTTAAGTACTAGAGTGAAAGTAGCATTAGCAAAATAATGACATTGTGATTGTTAATCTAGTGAGTCTTGGTTTTGTTTGGTAAGAATATACTCCAGGTTCATGAGCCTCTCACGAAACTACTAGACTTTATTCTATTAGAATTACACAATGCAAACTTTTGGAGACAATAAGAATTTTAAGGTGCATTATAAAACATTGATTTTTATAGCATGTATTTGAGGTGGTAAGAACTGCAGAAGAGGTTGAGATGGAAAGAGTCACATTTGCCTGTTTTGAACTAGATCTGTGCTTTGTCTCCATTACCATCTCTGCAACCTCGGCTGCTTTAATGTAATTTTGTTGGGAGGAGGGGATCTGAAAGCTTTCTACAGGGAGATAATAAGGCAGGGAGCCTTCCCTATGAATACTTGCAACTTTTAACTGTGCTGCTGTTGCAGAGGCATCTGAAGTGATGCTGTATAGGACAAGCTGCTTTATCACTGTATCAACAGTGAACACCCTGCTGTACTCCAGGAGTAGATATAGATCAGATGAAAATGTGTTGCTGACAGGATTGGCTGATATGTATCAGTGTAGCAAATTTATGTAAAACCTGATTAGCTCCCTGCTTCATTCTTGGCACGTGTAAGAAGCGCGTGTAGAAACAGCACAGGTGTATCAGTATGTCAGTTTTTATGAAAGTATTTTAAGATGCATTTTGATGTAGTGGGCTTAACACCATTCTGTTCCTGTAATACTGAACAATTCTGTAGCTATTGTCTGTTGAACTGCTTTCTTATTAGTATTAAAAACATTGAGTGTTGGATACTATTGTGTTTGCTGATAAAACATACATCAGTAGGACTAAATTATTTCCTCTGGATTAGGGCCTGAAGTTGATGAAGAAGCCACTCAAGAAGACTTGGAATACAAATTGAAGGGATTTATTGATCTTACATTGGACAAGAGGTATAGTATGCTTTGAAGAAACGCATTCAGACATTGCTTACTGGCTTCCTCTGACATAATAAGGGAAATATGCTTCAAAGCTTTTTATATGATTACTGAAATTACAATTATTTCATGCTGGAGAGGACTTGCTTTTCTTCTGCATCTGAAAAGGCCTTTCTCTCTCCACCAGGATTTTGGATAAGTGATAGACTTTCCTAATAGCTTGAAGTAGAGTGACTATTTCTAGTCTGGTGTACTATTCTGAACTCTATCTCCAACTTAAGTTTCTCTGTCCTTGAGAAAGAAGGCAATTCATAGCATTTCATAGTTTATGGATCTTCTGCTGGTTACATTCTGTTCTTGTATTGGGTGCAGACAAATAAAATTTACCATGAAAACAAAGGCTGAGCTTTAATTGATGTGTGCTGATTTCAAGAGGTCTTTTCTCTTCTAACAGTGCAAAGACAAGACAAGCAGCTCTTGAAAGTCTGAAAAGTGCTTTTTCTTCTAAAATTCTGTATGAATTTGTCATGGAAAGGAGAATGACACTAACTGATAGCATTGAACGCTGCATAAAGAAAGGTAATTAATATATTTGCTATTAGAAAGCACGATCCCTATGAAATAGCTCATCATTTGAAAGGAATTAAAACTGAGGCTTCTCTAACACTTTATAGAATGCTTAATAATTTAGATAAAAACATTCCTTTTTTGAATTTAGATGCTGTGTTTTAACTGACCCAGAAAATTAACTGAAATTATCTTCTGTCTGTTGGTTTCTGAATTTTCACTTGCAAGTTTTCAGACTATTATCTTTAAAGGAAGGAAGCAATACACAAGGTGATTACTCATAATATTTTAATCCTTAGGTAAGAGCGATGAGCAGTGTGCAGCTGCCGGACTGGCATGTCTTCTGTGTGTGCAGATGGGGTCAGGAATTGAAAGTGAAGAGATTTTTAAGACCCTTGGTCCAGTTCTGAAGAAGATTGTCTGTGATGGAACAGCCAGTATCCAAGCCAGACAGGCTGTGAGTATAAAATGTTTATTTGCCAGGCAGGGACAGAGGGCAGTTTTTCACCAGCTCACTATTGTGTAATCCAGAACTAAAGGTTACTGCACCATTGTAAACTCATAATGGTGACCTATGCTGTGAATGATGCATAGCACTTTTCACTGGCTTAAAAAGTTCCACCTAGAGATTAAATGTCTTCCTCCAACCTAGGAACTTCCTTAAAGAGCTGTTACATTTACTACTTAGTCAGGTGTCTTTACTCAATGTGTTGCAGTCTCCTTACTGCAGTTCTGAGGGCTGATGTTGAAGTACTACAGGAAAAAAAAGTTTTCCCACTGACTGATGTATACCTCCTGTATTAATTTTAACTTCTTTGACAGCAGAGGAAAGTTACTTATGCAAATATATTTATATGTGATAAAATTACATATAGCAGATCTGGAAAAACCTACTTGATACATTTGTACTACCAAAAGTATTTTAAAAGTTTTTCATCCAGGCATCTATTCATCTTCTGTACATCAGCAGTATACTTGAAATACTGACTGAAGACAGCCTAAAACTCCTGCCAAGAATTTTTTTAAATTCAGAGTTTTGACTAATCTTCAACTTGCCTTTATCACTGTGTAGCTGGCTCCTTCTGTTGCACTCAAGCTGTGTTACCATAGATCCTGTCAGCTGGAGGAGAGGGTAGTATTAGTTCAACAGCAGTTGTTTGTCCAAACAAATAAAAGCTATTAAAGCTTGTCCTGTTCAAGTGTAGTTTTGAGTCCTGTGTGGTTAGTGCGAACATCACTTTCAAACTTTTGTTTCCCTTACTCTTTTTAAGAGGAGACAGAGTGGAATGTGGGGGATAGGGAGGAGATATGTAGGATCTTGCAGGAAAAGTTGGAAAGTTCCAAAAAAGGCTTTTAAAGTCCAGTGTTTTCATGCCTTTTAATTGTAATAGTGGGCAGAGAGGGGAAAATATTTCCTGCAGCTGTGAATAAATATAATCTGTCCATTTCTGTTTATCAGCACAGTTTCTGTTAGTGAGTCCTGGTGGGACTCAAAATAACTGGGTGAAAGGAGTGCTACAGGTAGCTTTTTCTAAAGGCTTTGTAAGCTATATTAAATAATGCAGCACGAAAAATGAAGGCTTTTGAGTAGCATGTGTTGTAAAATCATCCTGAGAGTAGATGGGAACTGAGAACTAACTGTTGCAAAGTAGCTGCATTAAACAGCATTGAAGACTTCTGCTCTGCAAAGGTCTTAATTTCAAATTTCCATTACTCCACATGTTAAATTTCAAAGGTCAAGGTGGTTTTGTTAACAGTAGCATTAATGTCAAATACTGACACTTTTTTTCTTTTCTGTCTAGTGCGCAACCTGCTTAGGGATTTGCTGTTTCATTGTCACTGATGACATTACGGTGAGGATAAATAATACCTTTTTCATATCGTCAATCTATTAAAAAAAAGTGTGAATCTTAATTCCCTTTCATGATCTTTTTTCCCCTGTTCAGGAACTGTACTCTACTATGGAATGCCTGGAAAACATCTTCACAAAGGCCTATCAGCGGGACAGAGACACTAACAGTGTATCAAGTACCCATAATACTGTGCTCCACATCAGTGCTCTTTTAGCATGGACACTGCTGTTGACCATTTGTCCAATGAATGAAGTGAAGAAGAAAATTGAGATGTGAGTGTCTGTCTTGAAAAACAAAATTGCAATGACTGTTTTGGGTTTTGTATGCAATGAAGCAATGTCAACAAAATTTGCATCTTAATGAAATGTGACTTACTCCTTAGGCACTTGCATAAACTTCCAAGTCTGCTGTCTTGTGATGATCTCAACATGAGAATAGCTGCCGGAGAAACACTGGCCCTTCTGTTTGAACTGGCACGCGAAACAGATGCTGTAAGTAGATGTCAGCAGCTAAATTTTCTTGCACTGCAATGTTGACAAGACAAATTACTTAACATGTGTTGTGTAGCACCCGAGATCTCAGCAAGTGGCAGAAAATTCACTGGGTTATGTTCTTTGTAGTGAGTCTGCCCCAGTCTGTCAGTATAGTAACGATTCACAGCAACTTAGCTATGATATTGCAAAACAGGACGGTATAACAAAACACATCAAACAGTACTTAAGAGTAACTAGAAATGTAGTGTGCAAACTAAAATCTAAATCTAACACCAGCTTCACAAAAAAAAAAAGAAAGCCCAAGAGAGGTTCCAGGATAAATAAGTGAGTACTGTTTTGGGAACAGTCATGAGATACTTAGTTTTCTGCAGACAAATCTCAGCAGTTCCCAGCCTGCACAATTCTGCTCTCACAGCTAAATATGTATCCTTCAGTAGAAACCAGGCTCATTTTTAGTATTGTTTTTTTCAGTATCCTTATTTGGGTAACTTGAGAAGAATAACTAGTATTGCATGATAGTTTCTCACAGCATTTGTGACTATTTTAGTCAGCTGGAGGCTAGTCAGCCAATTTAAAGAGGGAGATTTTGAAAGAATTTGCACAAATTTTGCACAGATACCAGTATTACTAAGTTTGCTGAGATTTCTTGGGGTTTGCTTTTGAGTTGGATGAAGTATCCAACTCAACTGTAACTGTATTACCTCCTACACAGCTAAATTTACATTCTTCAATATGCCTCACTCATGTCTGAACTTTTTCTTGACAGCACTGAAGGAAACAGTCTCCACTTACCCATGGCACAGTTTGGGAGAGCTGCCTGAATGGCTTCTAGCTCAATCAAGGCTGCTGTTCTTTGCCAGAACACTCCCCAGAGTGAAAGGATAAGTCCAGTTGAGTCAGGACATACAGCACGTTAACACTGCATAATCTGAAACAATACACTGAGACTTCTGTGTAATTGCAAACTGTAGGGATTTGAGTCTCTTTGCTGTGGAAGCCAACTTTGAAAGAAAAGAAAGTAAGGGAGAGACCAAACTTGATACTTTATTTGGTCAAACTGACTGCAAGCAACTAAAATATTAAAAGGCATTAATGAGACTATATTAATTAAAAACAACTTCTGTTCCATTGAGGAAACAGCCCTTTGATCATTACAAATTATTCTCATCAGTGCAGATTAAAAATGCTTACTGTGTTTTGAGTTTGACCAGTTGCTTTAAAAAAGCATGCACATATCAGTTGACAAAGCGTTCAGATTAAAAAGGACAAAAACTTATTTTTACCTGAGTTTTACATACATTCTTACTAATCCAGTTAAACTTGCTGAACTAGTAAATGGAGGGGAGAAGATATTTCTTGCTAAACAATTGTGCATTAAAATTTATTTGGAATGTTTTGTTAAGTTTTGGGCTTTTTTAACAAACTACTTTCTAATTTTCCATCCCATACAAGACTTGCAACTAAATATTCCACACTGTCAGTCTAATAGTATCTCATGATCCATCTCTGGCAGTGTAAGTTCTCTGCTGATAACCTGAAAGTGCCCTCAGCTTGTGGACAGAAG